TTTCTACAATGTCTCAGAGACAAAATGCTTATATGTCTGAAACAAATATTCAACAAAAAATGTAAATAATTGAGAATATCAATACTGAATTAAAATTTATATGAAAATCCCTCTCAGATGGGTGCACATCGTGACAAGGGAATTCTGGTTGTGGTCAGGGCTTTGTAGTCATATATAGTCTTTTTCTTGTAAAATAAAAATTGGATGTAGCTACACAGATACTTTTCACACCTACCCAGAAAACAAGTTTCACATATTGTCTCTACCACACATGTAAACCCACTTAGTATCACGAATTAAAATAGAGAAAGTGAAGAGAATTAAATGAGAACATTGTGTCAAAAGGGGACTGCAGTAAAAGCAAGTCATTTCCTTTGGAATTCACACCTACTTGAATGTGTAACTTTACACAGATGGAAATTTGCTCAAGTTTAATAAAAAACAGCTCCATAGCAGTGATCTCATGAGGAACAAAAGAAAGCCACCGTGATTTACATGTACAGAAATTAAATCACGAAAATACTGAGCAATAAAAATGTGTATATCAGTAGTACGATAGTATAGTTATTTTACCATTCCTTAGTCTTTTGCATGCTATTTGCAGTCTTCTAATCTTTCTCATTTAGACAGCCTCACATGGGTGGGACATGCATCAATTAAGAACAGTTACACTGAAGAGCAGAGGACTTGCATTGAAGTTGTCCTGTCTTTGTCCTTGGTTCATGAAGTGACATCCCTGTATTTTTAAATTCATATCTATTCTGATCAGCATTTAAGAATGCATTTAGCTTTAAGTATATCCTTGATTAATACTGAATTTGTAAAATTTAGTTTGCATGGTCCTAAACAGAGATGATTTCCTGGCTCTAATCCCAAGCCTCTAAAATAACAAACAGCCCACAGAGGTCTGTCCATGCCTAAGTCACTCACTGTTGGTAGAACACACCAGAAAGTTCAAGTGCCCAGTATTGTAGATATATAAATTCATATTTTGTTGGGAGCAATTTATTTCCAGGTATAAGAACATGTAATGTACAGGAGCAACCAGATCTTGTACAATTTTGGTTTGCATTCCTGGAAATATACAGCTCAAAATAATAGCAAAATTCTGAGCCTTGTACAAGTAGAAATATGGAAGTGACACAACGCTGTGAGCATGTGGATCTGTACATGCATTTTTATCTCCTGTGGAATAATGATTATCTTTGCCCTGGTTGAGAAAGAAAGGTCAACTGTCAACTTTGTACAACTACAAAATGACTGCCAGAGTCTCCAGGAAGATTCAGCAAAATACAGGACAATCAGGGCTGAGAGAATAAGGTAAAAACACCTTCCATCTCAAAGCAAATACACAAGGAGAGGCTTGTAGAGGCCCATTAGTTTGGCAGGCTCTCATTAAAAGAATTTTTTAGGCAATGACTAGGGAATTACTGGTAGATCTTTCAGAACTGCAGAATAAATGGGGGGGGGAGAGAATTTGATGACAGTATGGAAAAATTTAATCTATAAATGTTCTAAACCGGATATTCTTCATCTGCAGAAGGGACACACTTCTCAATGAAAAGCTTATTTATTACAATGAAAGCTTATTTATTACAACAGGTCTCTTTGGTCATATTTTTGAAAAGAGGAAAGGTATTTGACTTCTTCAAGAAGTTGCTTTTATTTGTCACTGCAGATTTGGGTTATTTAAAATTCCATTATATACTGACAATTAAGGATACACTACCAGAACAGAATTGTGGTAGAAATGGCTGTTTTGGAAAAACAGCAAATTCCAGGGAGAACTATAAATCCCCAAGATATCTCTGAATGATCAACTATATATTCAATTCTTAATTATACTAAAAGGTGTGTGAAAATTTATCTCACTTGTATCTATTGTAGGACTTCCTACAATAAAATTTTCCCAGGCTCCAAAATATTCCTTTTGACAAAGGTATGAAATAAATCACCATCCACAATTTGGTTCTTGATCTATCTGCTTTAGGAACACAGTTTGAGACAGCTGCACCTTCTGTTCACATATGCTCTCTTATTTTGGAGACCAGTTTTTACATACCTGAGAAACATGCAGATGTCTAAAGTCTGGTAAAAATAGCAGATCAACAGAAAAAGGCTCTGTCTGAGAGAAATTACTCCAAAATTTTGAAGATCTGAGACACTGTGTCTGGCAGAAGCTCAGGTGAGTAGTGCTTCACTCATTAGCTTCCCATTCATTAGGTAGTTTAAATGCCACAGGTGGGCTCAGTGCTTTCCAATGCATATATGAAAGATCAGTATTTCTCCACAGAAAGAAGCAAGCACTAGACTGTGCAATTTTACCCTCTAGATCAATTTTTGGATGTTATATATAAATAGAAGGAAAGGAAGCTCTTTACAATGGTGAAGTAAAGTGATTATTATAATCAACTGATGTGACATTCACAAGAAAAATATCTTAGAGAGTTTGTTTATAATTTAAATAAATTCAGTGTTACTTTAAATTAACCAGGTGGCAACCTTTAAGCAGTGCTGCAGACATGGCATCACAGAACTCACAACAAAAACAAGGATGTGTTTCTTGCCTTTGGATCCCATTTCAGTACAGAAGGCAGAGAATTATTTCAGAATGAATTAGCAATGCCTGCGCACGTTCTTTAGTTAAAATAGGAAATTACCAAGAGGATAGAGTTCTAAAAGCTTTATGCAAGCTGACAGTCACTGATGAATTTCTGAAGCCAATTGCTACAATTTCCACATAGTTCCACTGATATGCTATTCCATGGTCTTCTGACTCTTACAAACTTTCTCTGCTAAGAAGATAAAGGAGTTTAACCACAGGTAGTGACCCTGAAAATGCTTTATTTTATGATGAAAGAAATCATTAGTTTTCGATCACTGAGTGAACATATATACAACTTTAATTAAGTTAAAAATTCAGTAAGTTATGGGATGAACTAGGTGGAAATGAACTTGTGTCCTAAACTTTCCACAGTTTAATTCATTTAAAAGTAAGTGAATGAAAAGATGTAGAAACGTGGGGTCACTTTTGCATTAACATATGTGCACCAAGTTGTAAACTTCCCTTGCCTTACAGCACCATGGTCATCTCCTGATAGATGTGCTTCCACTTCTTCCAAGGTAGTACATGTCTAGACTCTACACCAAAGCTTACAATCTGAAATTATTTTTATTTCAATTTATCTAGAAACTATCCTGTGTTTTTTTTCCAAAATCGACACAGTTGTCATGATGGTCTTCACAATAGAAGCACATTAGCAGGAGCAATCAAACACCAGTAAAATAGTCCAGTTCCAAAGTCACACTGATACTAGTAACTTTTTACTAGTATATTAAACAGCATCAACATTGGGCCACAATGATCAACATTATTTAATTATTAACATACTCTTTGACGTAATTTTGGCCCGTGACAGTGCTCACAGACAATACTTGGACATGGTTCAAGGGAAAGCAGATCTCTGGTTCTTCCCAACAGGCAATTTGGACTTGTTTATCCTGCTTTGAAGCAGAGAATGAAAAAAGTGTTAATTACCTGCAGGGGCTAAGGAACAGTCCCTCAGCAAAATCAGTTACAAAAAAATATGCATGGCTAGAGTTAAAAAGCCAGTCTTCCCTATAGCACAAGTCCCAGGGGACTGTGATTATCTCTCAGAAGACAATCAGGACAGTAAAAGAACCGCACAACTCACAACATTCTGTAGTAGGCTCCAATTTGTTCAAAAAATGAAACAGAAAACCAAATCCCTATCACTTAATGAATAGAAAACCAACATGGAGTGGTCTTTGCATCCTGGAACAGCAGCCAAGAGATTCTGCAGCTCTTGGAGGACAAAGGACCAACAAGTACAAATGGATACTTGGCCTTGGGCAGGAACCCTGATTCCCCTCAAACCTCTTAGGAAAATGAGCAAGTCCCTACAGATTATTCAAGTAAAGGTTTTCCTTAAGGCTTTGTACCACACCAAAGAGAACACCAAAAGGCCATTTGGAAAAGAAATGTGAATCTGAAACAGGATTCTAGTTTTTAGGGCATTCAGCTGGGAGAAAGCAATCAAAAAATTGAGGCTCTGCTGCCTGGACAGCTGGTCAGTTATGTTCAAGTTCTTGACTGATGCAAAACCCTGAAGCAGACCCTGTCACAGGCACAGGTTTCTGTCACCCACCACCCAAGTGACCCTTGGGAAGTCCCTCAGCTTCCCCAGTCTGGATTACTAATTAGGGTACAGTTGCATGCGGGTTCCTTTCTTCTTTCTGGTTCTTTGATCCCAAATATTCAAAATACCACTTCAGGAAAGTGAGACAGTAGACATCAGTTCTGTCAAGCAAATGAAGAATTAGGCACAAGGCTTGTGTCTGCCAGAGCACCACCACAGCAGCCTGCCTTGGTGCTGGTTTCAAAGAACACAGAGCGAATCCTCACAAGAGTGCTCCAGGTTGCACAAACAGCCTTTCTTTCTCTACCTTTACTAGCCTAAGTTCCCGTGAGAGGCACAGCTGAGCACAGTGGCACAGCAGCTTGTCTGCCTCATGGGGCTGCCCACCAGCAGGAGATGGCTCCCAGGTGGCACCATGAGCAAAATCCAGACTCATTTCAAAGTCATCCCTTTCCTTCCTTCCTTCATGCTTCTGCTCTGCAGGGATTTGCAGGCTGTTCACCTGATAAATCCATTGCATGGTTTTTGTTTTTCTTTGGGAACAGTGTAGATCTCTTGCCTTGCATGCCTCCCAGTACGTCTCTGTTTTTCACCCCCATTTGGGCAGTCTCCCAAAGCTTATTGCCAGGAGACAGGACAGCAGCTGCCCTGGAGGACAATATGGGGGATTGGGCTCCCTGGGGTGTGTGAAATGGGGGCAAAGCCCCATGGTGCAATGAGGACCCAAGCTGTGCCTTCAAAATCCTAAAACTGTGGTGCTAGGGTGTCCCTCCTCCATTTAATGGGCTTGCATTGGAACAACATCAGCAATAAGTAGTACCTGACCTTACTGGCAGCACTAACCTGGAAGGGAAGAGGTGAAACAGCTCCACGTTTTCATCACTTGAATGGTCTGTTGAGATTGTGACAAAAGCTCCCTGGAGGAGGAGGAAAAATCACTTCAGTGCAAAACCACATTTTCAAGGTCAATCATGGAAGTTTAAGAATATTATTTTATGAAAACAAATGAAAAAGAAAGTTGCAGCAATACGCACAATTCACTCAGTGCAAACAAGGACAAAACTCTTTAATGAAATCTTTAACAAAGAGGTTAATAAGCTCTACAAAATGCTAGGTACTTTTGAGTTGACTGCACCATTTGAAAGTTTCTGGGTGAAATAGCATCCTGGAAGATGTGCCTGAAAAATTCCCCTAAGCAAGGAGAAAAAAAATACTCTCTGATTAGTTATTTATTGCTTATCTTGGACTGCTGCAACCACACTGTTCCCTTAAAGATTACCCAAGCAGCAGCCAAGCACAGAACAAACCTACGTGCTAGTCCCTGTAGTTATATGGGGTACCTGGGCCCAACCTTATTTTGGATTCTCAGTGTAGGAAAAAATTGCAATAAGCCACTTCCACTGTGCTATAGATAAGCTTAGAATAGTTTGCCTGCAGGTAACCAGCACAAATGGCATAACACAAGCCTGACAATGATGAACTAGACAAATTATGTGTATACATCATGATGGACAATGTGTTGGTTTGGTTGTATTTTTCATAGAGTTTTTAAGTATCCAAGCTATGATGTTTAAGAGTACAGTATTTTTATTCTGAGTGATTTGTTGTTATTGCTCAAATTACAAGAATAATCAGAGATAAAACAAGCAAATTCAGAGCTGTTAGATAACTGCTCCCACCTTCTGAGCCAGAACTATGTAATTTACTTTTCAAAGTAGTCTGATCAGATTTCTGAGTCCAGTTCATATGAAACAATAAAGGAAACCAAATTCCATAGCCATTTGCTTTGCTGAAAGGGGTTTTAAGATTACATTAGAGATTGTAAGAAACACAATGAAGAAGAGAAAGAAAATAGTCTGTGTTTTAAAATAAACCAAGAATGGTCACAGAGCAATAAATGGCCCAAAAAGCAAATGTCAAAAAGGCAACTGAAAAAGAAATGCCAACAGAAGCACACTTACACTAAATGTCCCCTTAGCACAAAGATAAAAAGCAAAGGCTGAACTTGACAAGGCTGAAAATAAGTCTGACAGCCTTAGACAAGAATTGTACAATGACCTTGGCTACACTGATTTGAGTAAGCAGTTGTAGACAGATGGCCAAAAGAAAAATATCTGGGCACTTTCAAGTGTATAATATTCCTGAGTCTGTAGAGACAATCTTGCTGCTTATAAATGAGGTCTGAAGAGTCAAACTAGATGTTGCGATGTAAAAAATGCCAAACATTATCTTCAGAAACAATCTAAAGTATCTTATCATAGTCTAAACACAAAAACATCTGGCACTGAGTAGAAGATATCCAACCATAGTAATGGAAATTCAGATTAAAAAAAAATAATAGAGCTATTGTTCCTTGTTCACCCGTGGCACAATAACAAAGAGGACATATCTGTTGTTGATTAATTGCTAGCAATTTACATTGGAGGGGAGCTATGTGACTCCTAGAGCTCTGTTCTCAATGTCCTCAGCTACAAGGTGCATAAACTATTTTGTATAATCCCCCCATAATATTTTCTTACACCTTGCCTTGCAATTATTTCACTGAATAGTTTTCTTAAGCAACCCTACCAGCCGTGTTCTTTCCTGAGACTGCCAGTGCACTCAGGTGTTTCTTCTGTGCATGTTTCCCTGCTACACCAGTAACACACTTACCACCAAGTCTGTTTGGGTTTTAAAGACCTTCAGTGGCAGAGGCTTTCATGTTCCTCAGGTTTTCTGTAGATAGTTAGATCAGCTTCAACATAGATGGGGATACAAACACTATTATCACATTGCCTGGAGGTGTGCAGACTTCAAACAAACTTGAAATCATGGCTTCTGTTTTTCTCCTGTCTACCAAGAAATGCAAAGGGCTTTTTGTGCTGGAGAAATATTTCACTTACAGTTTTCATTTATTAATTAGAAATCTGAAAAAATAAGAGGATAATTTCTAACATTTTAGTTTGCTGAGTTTCTTTCCACAGTAGTGAGCACTCATAATTAATCATTTGTTAAACTCTGCTCATTCAGTCTGTGGATGATGTGTCATTAGTTAAGGGGTTTTTTTAATTTGCTATTAGTTAAGTTTGTTTTTTTCTTAAGAGTGACCTGCATTACTAAAAATGTGCAGCAGGGAATCAAAATAAACTAGTATTTTATCTTCCATGTGGTGCTTGTTCTTTTGAAAAAAAAAAAAAAAAAAAAAAAAAAGACTGCAGAAGTTACTGTGTAAATATTTTAAACTTTTTAGGTCAAGCTCCCTTAGATTTACTTGTAAGGCAACTTTGTATCATTCATATGTATCAAATGTATCATCAGTCCACTATTTGTGCAGTTCTGAAAGAAAACTACTTTCAACGTGTTTTCCATTAAAAAGCTATTTGGTGTGGTCTAAATAAGTTTTCACACATATTTTGCATTCTAATTCTAGAACCATACATTAATCATAGTTGAAATTATGATGGCTAAACATAGTATTGTTAAGTGGTGTGAAAATCCTTCAGATGACTAAAGGAAAATGAGGTCTTCAAATGCCAAACTGCTGAAGGGACAACTTTCTTCACAGCCTTACCAGAGGGTGTGTTTTATCTTCTATTAAAGAAAGACACCATTATGAACATTAAAGCACCTGGATAGGGCTTATCAGAATGTAATAATGGTAAAATGGTACTTTTCCCATAGCTGATCAGACTAGGGAAAATGAACCATGGGGGTTCACATGCATGCCTGCCCCAGAAACGCTGAGGGTAAGGGTTGGTAGCAATTTGAAAATGAACGGAGATGTGAAGTTTGGATAAATACCAACCACAGAACATGTTCAAGAAAATAACTAAGTCAACCTATGGTGGTAGGATATAACCGTTCTGACTGAAATAGCCCAGGCAAGGTTTCTGCCTCATTCTTCCTTTTTGGGGGAATGAGGAGAAGAGGAAAATGTAGGATGGGATAGGAAGGGGAGGAGGCAGCTCTGACTCCAGCACCATGTCTGGGGCATCAAAGCATAGAAGTTATTCCGTATTGATCTGAACATAACATTTGCATTTTGAGAGGAAAAGAAGTCGCAAAAGAAGACAAAAACAATGCCACACGTCTGTAACTCATACTGAATATTACTACTTTTAATTATGAATATTTATCTTATATGTAGGTTCAAAAATAAAAATTGCATTTTGCTGTTCTTGCAAACTCTCAAGCTTCTTAGAGCAAAAGCTGGGGAGTTTGGAAGTGGGATGCTTCCATGATTCTTAACAGAAAATAAAAACCCATGTTTCTTTGGTCCAAGACCTCTCTTCAAAACTCTGATTTCTATACATTTTACATCTATATACTGATGAAAATGTGTGTATTACAAGTTAAATATTCTTGTAATTATTTCAGTGTTTCTTTTAATTTGTATCACCCAGGACCAGAGCTTCCAAATAAACATATTTCTGCTTTGAATTCACAGGCTAGAGTTTTGATACTGCTCATTTCAAATCTCTGTTGCTAAAATATTTGAAATTGCTTCTGCTCAAGAGAAGGGCTTTTCTACAGATCAAAAGCCTGAAGAAATTTGCAAGTTATTTCAGCTGTAACAACCTCCTACCCAGCTGTCATTCTCACTCTCCTGCATTTTTGTTAGCAATCCAAGATCAAAATACATCCAACATTAGCAATTTCTCAAAATACATAGCTGTTTCATAAAGGCATCTGAACAAAAAAGTTGAATGCTGTAATCAATGGCATGATAGTACAGTGAAACTCTCAACCTGCCTATGACTCACACTTCTGACTGTTGGGCCAATTTCTGCATGTTGAGAGGTGTGAGCAGTTACTGTCTGTTACACATTTTCATTTAAGAGAAAAAAATATTTTCCTTGTATCTCATGAACTAAATTTTCAAAGCATAAAACTTATTTTGGTCACACTTTGTTTTAAGGTCTGCTTGACAGACTTTGATATGATGAATGATTTTGTCCAGCAAGAAAATTAAAAAAAAAAAAAATCTCTTAAAATCAATTATTATTATCTAATGCAAAACATCACTCTTCAGGGCATGAGTCAAACAAGTCACTTTAAATAGTAATAAATGTTCACTGTCAGATTTCTGTTTCCTTCAGCTAAAAATCCAGATCCCACTCTTGCTCAAGACAGTCTATCAAATGGAGACATCCCATTTAAATACTCGTCTCCTGGGCAAATGTGACAGATATAGGGTAGTCAAAATTCATATGTTTGCTTTAGATTAACTTCTTTCTATCACAGTTGAGGAAATGAAATTTGAAGTGTAATTAACTTGTGTATTTATTACAATTTATGGTTTAGATTGTCACTGCTGAATTGATAGTGTATTTTTCACTAGAACGAAAAGGACACAAGGGTCACCTGATGTATCTCCTTCATACAATTCATACTTTTGTAACAATTCAGATCTAAATTTAAAAACCACAGCTATGTTAATTTTTACCAGTTACATAAATGAAATAAGTGAAAAATTATATTTGACTGACCATGTTAATTCTGTTTTCTGTGATATTGCCTGGAAGAGTTAGAGTACTTCATCTCCTTGCTCCTGCTGGGCCCCCTGTATCTAAATCGATCCTCTTCTGATCTGCTTCAGAGGAGAAACAGAATACTCCATGTAAATAATTATATAAAAATCTCCTAAATAAAATAATACAAAGATTACATGAACATATACATAAAAATAAATTAATACATGCATTTATTTACATATATCTAGTGTAGGCATGCCTCAAAATATATTGTATGAGTACATGGGAACTTAGAAAGCAGTAAGAATTTCCTTATTGTTGAAAATCAATTAATTTTTCAAAAATTTATTGTAATTACAGTAAATAAGTAAATGGTGTATACTTTAAAACTCCCTCTGTTAGGAATATTCAGAATTTTGAGTTACAACTGCAGTGATACCCACAATGAACAGTATCTCTTCCAACAGCATTTGAAAGGCAAAACACTAAAAACATCTAAAATAAAATGGAAAGTAGACGTCTAATGAAAAAATTGCCTGTCAAACAACTTTTTTTAGATGGATACACAATGAATTAAACCACCTCGTCTGCCAGATATGGGAAACAAGTGGTAAATAAGACTTATGATAATCATAGGGGAAAAAGCTCACTGATTCACACACAGAGAGCACTTACACATATAAAAAATGCTGCTCTCCATAATATTCTACTGAGAAAAGTGAGCTGTTGAAAAGATCCATTTTGTAGCAAATATTTCCAACTCAAAATGGGGGGAGGGGGGGTTGTCTTAAGAATTTGTGTGACTGGCAACATTAGAGGCTTTACAATCAATCTCCTGCTTCTTGGTTGGTTTGTTTTTTTTTTTATTTTGCAAACCTCTGAACAGATCAGAATGTGACACTTGCTTGAAACATCTAAGTGACTATTTAATGAGTCATTCTGCAAGTGACTTTTGCCTTCAGCCTCTCTAGCCCTAAGTTCCAGAAGTGAAATACAATGGAAGAATCAGCTGCATTTCCCATCTTTATGATGCTGACTTCCATTGCACTTTCACAGAGGTCAGTGATTCTAGCTCTGTTTTCAAAGCATTCACCCAGTGCAATACACAAAGATGTATTTCCTCTCATTTTTCATAAGAAATTAGTACTTATTTTTCATTACAAAGCTATATAGTATTCAGTTGGTTTTTTAGCATTTAATGCTAAAAGAGAGGGAAAATTAACTACCAAGTGCTACCAAGGAGCAAACTGCCTCCATCCACTCTGAAAATACAACGGATGTACTCTAATGTCATCCTCTGCCTTGCGAGACATACTTATTCATTCACCAGGATTAAAGGCTATTTATCTCTTTTTTTTTTTTTTTTTTTTTGCGTTATCTTTATCTTACTACATAAAAAGTATTCCTTTGATCACAGAATAAAATTTCCTCTTTGTGGTCAGAACCATGCAAATATATATATTTAATATCTAAATTCTTAGAATCATGCATATTTTTAATTCCCCAGAAAAGAGGATAAACATCTGTAGCATTAATATGTTACCCACCTTTAAAAAAAAAAAAAATCTCATTGATTATATCTATAGAAGTACTGATGCAAATTGAATTAAGCCTAACTAAAACAAAACAAAACAAAACAAACAAACAAATAAACAAAACCTAAAAAAACCCCATTAAAATACATAGTATTTTCTAATGGAACCTTTTTCAATAAAAAAAGACTTCTTTTTTCCAAAATAACCATCTACAAAATCCACCCCCCCCATCTTTCTCCCTCTCATGTCTCCTTTCATATTAATCTCTTCCTCTTCCCAGTCTTTTTTGTTTTCCTTTGTCTTCTGCACTTTTGGGATAACTTTTACTGATAAGATTCTGCCCTGATTTAAACTTTGGGTGGTCTTGCCACTTTTCAATCAGGGTGTAGAGCATGACCATCACAATTCCACAAAACCTGCAGGAAACAGTCTGCAAACTGAGTTGCACAGAATAAAATCTGACTGCTGGGGAAGGAGATGGTGTTGCAAAAATCATCCCTCTTTTTTCTTCCTGCAGCAAAGGTAGATTCTACACTGAAAATCAGCAACAAATATCTCCTTATGTCCTTTGGTGTGGATGCAGAAATCATTTAGATATCTGCTTAACCTTAAGCACACAGCTGTTTAACAGAGTGCTTTACTTAAAGTGATTTCTCACTGTCCTAGTCCTGCATAAACATTCTTAACTACTTGAAGTGAATTATAAGTGCTTGTATTGGTACTGGTTGAAATTCCATGTACCTAACTTTTTGGGAACTGTACTTACTACAATCAAACAGGAAAACTACAAAATGAAACAACTTGCCATTTTTTATAGCCAGCTATGAATTATTAAACTTTGATTATAGGTGCTTTAGAGTTTTTAATCATTTACAATCTTGTTGCACGTATTTTGAATATTTCGTTTATTGATTGTTCAAATCAGCACTGACAAAGTCTTCATCAACACTTTAAGAATTTTTGAGTATTCTTACCAGAAATGACCTAGAGTGTTAAATGTGTCATTGTTAAATCCTTCATGCATTGTGCCTGTAACTGGGAAAACAGCATGATGCTTCTTCATGGGGGAGGTGTCAGTTTATTCTCATGCAGGAAAAAGAGGCAGTATCATAAAATTTTCCATTCTTTTCCTCTCCGATGTAGGGATAGATAAAGTCCTGGCTAGAAAGTAATGCATTCTGCCAGCTTTTGTCAGTGCTGGGTTATGTACACAGTAAAATGTGTATATACACCTTTGCTGTGTTTATATATATAATACCCAGGAAGAAGCACTCTGGCCACCTGGGGATCAGACCAAGAAGGTTTTTTTATCCAGAAAAAGCAACTAAACCTGGGTTTAGACCATGCAAGACTTAAAAATAATCAGGCAGAACAAGAATTTCAAAACCTCAAGCCTAAGGTTTCTCTTGATCCTGGCTTTGTGCCAGCTTTGTCTGCTAGACCCTGTTCAATTTTGTCACAACTGCTTCCATTTCCTTTGATCCTCACCTCTCTCTACCAAGCTGGTAGGCAGAGCTCCTTTTGACCTGGTGTTAGAGTGAACCACAACAAAGAGAGCTCTGCTTCCCCAGGTAAACTCCTGAGTCAAAAACCCCAGCTCTGACAGAAGGTAGGATTACACCTCTAGCATGATTATCTTCTCCTTGTCCCCAAAGAAATCCTGTAAATGTTAATGGTTCAGTATCTTCAAGCCAATGACCCCCACAGCTTAAGTCCTTCCTAATACATCAATCTGTATACAAACACTCCCTTTATTACCTTTTGTGTAACATTATGTCCAGCTTGTGACTAGCAATCCGAGTGCATTCATTATGCAATTTTGCATTATTTACATAAATTTTTTAACAGCACATAGTAGCACAAATATGTCCTCATTGGTTAGGACTCTTTCCTCTCTGTTACAAAGCAAAGAGTGTAGTAGTAAGGAATAAAATAGAGCATAAAGCTGCTGAAACCAAAGATTTGGAGAGGAGGTGAGAACAAGTGTTTAATGCAGCAAGGAAAATTTCAGAGACCTTTGTGCTGTGAGCTATGTTGCTCCCAAAGGTCTAAGCTGCACTCACTTTGAAACTAAACTGTGTGGTCAGTCCTGAAAGCAACTGGATTGAAAAGTATAAGGTTAGTCCAGACAATTTTAGATTTGCTAGTCTGAGCAGCTGAGAGTCTTAGAATTTGTTTTCCCTAAAATCTCCAGGCTATGGCTTCTTGCAACGGTTAAAGTAAAAGCTGTGGAATTCACTTTTTCCTCTCTTGTGCTTTGCCATGAGAAAAATGAAATCTGCAATGACATAGAATCTGGAGGTCCATCTAAAATCCAGGAGGAGAGTCAGTATAGGTCTTTAGATTCATCTTTCCTCTCCAAAAAAGCTCTACTGTAAAACTATTGTTTAAAGCCCTTCTCCAAAATGGAGTAGTTCCTTATTCACACAACTGCATTTGCTTGTGAAAATGTGTTACTTACTCAGTCCCAAGTGGCAGTCTGTCCAAGTGGCAGCCACCTCTCATCCCTAGTACAGCAGTGGAGACAGGCTGAGTCCAATTGAATACAACAGTAGCTTCTCTGGTCTTAAAATGTTAGCGGTGCCTGTAAGGTATGAAATAAATCTGAAGCCATTTCAACAGACTGTGAACAGAATCAGAAATTCTAGGATTAACACAACATTGGGTTTTTCCTACAGAGCAAGTGAAAATGCTTATTAAAAAAATGAAATGCTTTCTTACTGTTCAAATATTAATTAAAGCCTTCAAAAATTACAAAACTTAATATTATAGTGAATGCACAATTCCCAGGGAACTGAAATTGGTCATAAAAGAGATTTAAACAGATGGCACAGTTTAAGGTGAATGCATCTATAACCTTTACATGCTTGTGAAAAATAGCACCATGTTTCTTTCATTTCAGGAAAACACTGGGGAAAAAATGAGACTGTTAGAGCAAGACTTGCTCAGTTTCATTAGAACATCCAAATTCTACAGATTTAGGTGTTTAAATTTCTGTAGGAATGCTTATAAGTTTATTAATACTGAACTAAAAAGCAAGCAGGACACCATAAGCCATATACACCATAATACAGAAAAAAAATCTTCCCCTAAATTCCTTTCCTTCTTATTTTTAATATCTCTCTAAGCCTATTCATTTGAATAGGACACTTGCACAGAAGCCAGTGGGGAATAATGACACAACCCAAGATCTGAGTGCAGTGTTGTTATCCAAATTCTGAGGTAAGAACATAAAAAGCATAGAAGATCAGGCCACAAGCAAGAGCCTTAATCAGGTTTTCCAACTCCTCTCTGTAATATGCTTTTTTTATGTAGTATATGTGTAAGGTAACAGAGACAGCCCTGTTCTGGTGATTGTCTAATGATATGGGAGCACTTCCAAGAAGGTCAGATCTCTTCTCCTCCCTCTTCTGTGAAAGGTCAGCAGCTTCTTAAAGCAACTTATCCTTTTGGATGCCTTATTTAGTTAAAAATGGACAGCATGAAAATGAAACATATTTGATTCACCAAATAAACTTGCTGTGAAGTTTGACCTAAATAATCTTTTAAGTTTGATTCATCTGCCAAGGGATAAAAGCAATTATTCATACAGCTTTACTGAAAGCAACTCTATTGTCACCCTAATGCATGATTAACTTTCCAAAAATAAAAAAACAAGTATTTTTTTCCCTCAGACCTGACATAACCTCCACATTTCATGAGAAACATGAGTGGTTTTGAATCCCGAACGGTTCCCAAGATAATAAGATACATCTGTTCTACACAATGACTAAGCACTATAAATAACATAGTTTCAGCCCAGTGAAGCAACCAAAGTAACAGTCAGTTACCAGCAGAACAATCTTCAGACAACAATCACCACTGAGGATGAAAGCTCTTGGGCTGACAAAGACAAGTTGTAACACCACTGAGGAAGGAAGAGAGACACTTACCAAGTGAAGCTCCTGCTTTACTTATGCAGGCAGTGAGGAATGTTGCGCTTTGTGGGCATCCATACAGGGCAATTTAACACCATGAATAAGCACCCCAGTGCTAAATGAGCACAAAAACAAAGCAAAAAGAGCAAGAACTCTGTTGTACCAGGACTATTCTGAATCCAGGCTAATTAGCCTTGCTATTAGCAGAGCTAATTTGTTCTGAAAGAACACTAAATTGCTATTGGACCCCAGTGGAGCTTTTGCAGCACACTGGGCAGTCCATAGCACTACCTGGATGTGCTGCACACACAGATCTGGCTCAGGGATCACTTACAGGAGCACAGCTCAAAGCCCTCTTCTGTGATACAGCAGAGCTTTTACAAGTCATTCTGTTGACACCACTTTACACCCCTGAAGGTAGAATAGAGAAGATATATGATGATATCTTCAGAGAGAAGCTCTGGCCTTGCTAAAGGGAGAGGTTGAACTACTCTCCTACCTAAATAGGGCCAGCATTTCCCTTTCCTTGAAGTGAGTCCCAAGCTGTTCAACTAGCATCAGCTGCTTTTATAGTCACAATACCTTACCTCTGAGTTCACTCCAGCTGGAATTTTTTTGGTTAATGCATATGGATCGTCTCAGCCATGTCTGAAGGGGGTCTGACCCTCGAGGTCAAGAGTCCACGACATCCATTTCATTCTTGCAACATTGCAAGGCTGGTTTTCAGACAGGAAAGAAAAGGGTAATTCTTCAAAAGAAACTCAAGTAAAAGGTAGGTGAGGAGAATGTAAATGCTGCCCTGGCTGAAGTATAGCTGGGACAGTTCAAGCTAGCATCTGTATATTTCAAAAAAGTGCCAGAGAAACCACAAACTGTGGTGATCCTTACTGTGCTTCCTTGGACTTTGAAAATCCATCAGTAAAGTAAAATTTGTAAAAGCTACTCTTTCATTTTCTTTCTGTACTATATGTTTATATATATATTACCTTATAGTGCTGATGGGCAGAATGGCCTTTTGTGTTTCCTCTGTTTTTAAAGTATTGCTTTTTTCTTGTTTTTATGGAATAAGGTCCAAAACCTAGGAATACATAATTTTCTCCTCTTGATTGCCTTATTATATATTTGCATGCTTCAACTGCCAAAGTATATTTAGCTGTCCCCGCCTATCCCTGTTCTTTTTTCTCATCAGTGATTTTTTTGCATAAGGTCTTCCATCAGTCTCCCCACAAGTCATAAATTTTAGTCTTTTTCTACAGTTTAAAATTGCAGTGGAAGATCCAGTCTTTGTGCATGTACTGCTTAGAACCAGCACATCCTCCAGTTTCTTTTAACTCCTTGCCTGATGTCAAAGAGGTCTGCTGACTGCCTATTTTATCTTTAACAAACAATTATTACAGCAGATACTTATTTAATCATTGCATGCAAAGATTTTTGCTATGATATTTACTTTTGTTTCAAACTCATACAGTATGGGGAAAGCAACTTAGCCCTTCTGCTATAAAGAACATTTCTGAAAACACAGAAAAATGATCTTTGAATTGAGGTTGCTGGTGCCAGGACATGAAGTACTCATAAATAAATAACCTTTCAAATTTGTATGCTTTTAATATTATTATTTAGGCTTATTTTCTTACAGCTGCATGCAACATATAGTGAAGATAATCAATCGGAGACCACAATAGCTTAAGAATCCTATTTACAAAATAAAAAGTTGAGAGCTGATAGACACACTGAGAATCTGACTTTCCACATACATCACCCAGGTGCAGTGTGAAGGTTTTTTCTTTCTATACAAGTCAGCTGCCAAGAGCATCACCATCTGCACCCTCCATGCCTTGGGTGAGAGCTGTTCTCAAGCAGGCTGTGAGATAAGCAGCAGGTGAAAAGCCTAACCCCATGAATGGGTAGCTGCTCCAAGGTATGACATCCAGAATTTTTTTTGCATTTATAACAAATATGTTGTGATTGAAAATTCAGGGTTTCTTGTTACTCATTAGAAGACTCATGTGTGTGCCAGATGTGGTCACCTGAGTTTGCTGAGAGAGTGACTTTTGACATAGGACAGATAGCGATCGGACAAGGAGAAACAGTTTTATTTTAAAATAGAAGAGATATTAGGAAGAAATGCTTTACTCAGAGGGTAGTGAAGCACTGAAACAGGTTGCCTAGAGAAGGTGTGGATGCCCCATCCCTGAAAGTGTTCAAGGCCAGGCTGGATGGGGCTTTGAGCGATGTGAGCTAGTGGAAGGTGTCCCCGCACATGGTAGGGGGATTGGACTAGGTGATCTTTAGGGTCTCTTCCAACTCAAATCATTCTATGATTTTATGATTACAGATGTAACCAGAAAATAAACATTCAAGTGATCATGGAAACTTGCCAGTGTGGATTTGAAGCAAGGTATGGATGGCATTTTCAAAATGTCAAGTATTTCCTATGCTAGAAAATACATAATCAGGTGTACCAGAAAATACGGTCAGATGCTCCTTTCTTTTTACTCAGAGTCTTTGTACATTTGCATTTAATTGTGACAAATGAATAAATGCCATCAAAATTTTCAGAAATATTTAATTTGGGAAAAAAATACAATGTTTTTTCAGTGGTTTGGTTTGTCCAATGGCCTGCAAAAAATAAAACTGACCTCAAATGTTAAGAAAACCAACTTCATGAGAAACTTAATGAAAATGTCACAATCTTCATTAGAAATTTTTTCAGTCTAAAAATAAAGAACATCTGAAAATCCACTTTGCTTTATGCTTATTTACCTCCTGCCTTATCAGCCTAATTGCAGAACACAGAAGCCAAAGCTCTTCAATGCCACATCTGGAAGAGATACCTTGTACACCAATTTCACTAAAATCTCTCTGGGTACTTAGGTTTTTTTCTTTGAACACCTCATGTGTTTATAAATTTAATAGGTACATTTCACAATGAAAAATTGGTCTGCAGCTATTATAAAGTTGTCTGATCTGAGTCCATTCTACAGATTGCCATAACCCCTTTTGCTGCCTCTACCACACTTAGAAAAGCCTTCACAGGGAACATTTCATGCACTGAACATTAACAAAATGGAAAACAGAAATATCTCAAAGAGGCAAAAAGGTCTCTTGATAGTACATCACAAAGAAGATGCGTAAGCAACACTAAACAAAACAGCAGCTCTATTATTTACAAAACTGAGCACAGCATCTGAAACATAAGTCCATAATGCATTTCAACATTATATTTCAATAAAGTGCCAGTAACTAGTTTTAATACTGATAGCTTATTGTACATTCTTATCCTCTTTCAAAAAAAAAAAAAAAAAAAAAAAAAGACTAGCTATTTAATTTTCGGGGAAAAAAAATCAACATGTGCACATTAAAAAATTGTTCATTTATCCTCTATATTCATCTGCCACTTCCCTCTCATCTACATAGCAATAATTCATTTTACTATAGAGTTTCCTCTGTACCACAGTCTAGAAAATGTACTTGCTTCATTTGTTCCTGCAATCTTCCTTAAGAAAATATAATTGCACCTCTATCTGAAACAAACAATATTTTTAACTAATCAAAAGCCCTTCACTGCCCATCGAACTGGCCTTAATAAGTTTTGCTATGCTGTAACTAGAGATGAATAAAACAAGAATCAAGGTGATAAGAGTTTGAAGTGAAGTGAAGTGAAGTGGTAAAGTGAATTCAACTCATGGAGAACCCAAGTCAGACATAGATTCCTTTAAATATGGGGAAATGTCCCCAATATGAGGTCAAGTCCAACAGATAAGCTTAGTCTATTTATAATGACTGGTTATCCTGTAAAAATTATTAGTACTAGAGAATTTTTTTACTAACAGCATACTAAATCCTTTCAATTAAGTTCATAGGATATAATCTAGACTTTTGCTTGAATAAATGAAACATCATGTGTTAGATGTTTTATAAAGTAACCTTTTGCACTGCATCAAAACATACACCTGAAAAGAGGCCATTTGATGCCACATACAACTGCAAGTAATAAGGTTCTGAAAGCAATTCACTGAAAAGTGTCTCACCAGGCAGAAATGAGTCATTTTGCCATGAATATTCCTTAGGTTCAAACAATGCATTTAGGAAACCTGAGTTATCTCTCTAGAACCTTGTCTGCCCTAAAGTACTGTAGATGGCCACCAGAGCATTGCAAGTGCACCCATCACACACTGTAATCGGCAGTCTCTCCATCAGCCAAGGCACAGAAACAGCAGCTGACAATATCGTTATAATTTCTGTTGTGGTTTAAGACCAGCTGGAAATTAAGCCCCATGCAGCTGCTCCCCTCCCCCCTAAACCCTCCAGTGAGAAAGAGAGACAGAGGATTGAGGTTACAGGTTAACAATTTACTGGAAACAGGAATGAGATAAGAAAACGAACATCAACAATACCAATAACAAAAGTATATAAAAAGGGGTGGTCTACATGCAAAAAATGTTCACCAATTCCAACACAATGCAACTGTAGCTGGTACCACCCCCGCCCCCCACCGCTCCCTCCACCATGTTTTCTTTTCATTTCCCAAGACAATGAAAACAATGATAGACAAACCAACCATCTATGCCTGCCCTTTTCCCCCAAGCCCAAGACAATGAAAAAAAAAATCCAGTGGGGGACAAGCAATCCACGTGGGACCAGCACCATCCCACCACTCAGCTCACCACCTACTCCCAAGAAAATGGACAAAATGGCCATGGATTGTCTGCATGTTCCTTTTTTTTTCTTGCTTCCTAAGCCACATCCCCTTCCTTCTTGGAAGTGAGAACCTCTACTTCCACTGCCTGGTGGTGATGTGGATAGTATAGAATAACAACCTAGACACATTCAATGTGGCTCCAAGCTCCTCCCCCTCAAAGCTACCACGAGAAAATGAACTCTATCCTGACCAAAACTAGGACAATTTCTTAATGACAAAACACTAGTAGTAGTAGCAGTAGCAGTAGTAGTAGTAGTAGTAGTAGTAGTAGTAGTAGTAGTAGTAGTTACTTCTGAGACTTCCCCAGTCACGACAGAGCACAGAAGTGTAGAGAGGGATCATGAATGATAGTCTTGAAGTGAAAAAAAGAAATAGCTCTGCCAAATCCCAGTTTCAACTACAAGATTACCCTACCAATTTCTCTTCCAAGTGTGCTTCTCCCAGGGTAATTTTAT